AAGATTGTGGAGTTTAGGTTGCGAGAATGGGACTAGTATGCGGAAATGAGATTGAGAGATTTGAGAGACAGAGATTTGATGATGAGAAAGAGAGAGATTATCTCTTCTTACTTAATTTGGTAATTACATAGGTTCCCTTTTAAAAGGGATACAAAAGGAATATCCAAGGAGGATATCCTATTTACAACGGTCATGAAGACCCAAAAGTAGAAAGAAAACGTGTGAAAGGATAAGGCAACACGTCATAAAGTAAAGCATAAAGCACTCTTGTCCTCTTCCTCTTTTGAACACGCAACCGCTACAAGGGAAGACTCGGGAAGGATCTGGAGGCTTCTAGAAGGGCCTTGGAGAGGATCCAAGGCTAAATGGCCGAGAGAAAACTTCACGGGCCGAGACAAAACTCCAAACGTACGGATGGACTAAAAGCTGGCCGTACGGGCGAGACCTTAAATCGGTTGTGCAACCGATCGCCATAACCGATCGATAGTTAAATGATGCTTCGATCGTTTGTGCAACCGATTGACACAACCAAGCGGCAAAACCTTTTTCTTACCTGATCGGTTGTGCAACCGATCAGCTAAACCGGTATCTAATCCCATTCGCTCTCCTAGCTTTCGTCTCTCAGTGTCAGTGTCGGCCCAGCAGAGTGCTTTCGCCGTTGGTGTTCTTTCCGATCTCTACGCATTTCACCGCTCCACCGGAAATTCCCTCTGCCCCTACCGTACTCAAGCTTGGTAGTTTCCACCGCCTGTCCAGGGTTGGTTCGGCGGGGTAAATGCATTAAAAAGGGACAAATTTTAGCGGATGGTGCTGCTACAGTTGGTGGGGAACTCGCTTTGGGGAAAAATATATTAGTGGCTTATATGCCATGGGAAGGATACAATTTTGAAGATGCGGTACTCATTAGTGAGTGTCTAGTATATGGTGATATTTATACTTCTTTCCACATACGGAAATATGAAATTCAGACGCATGTGACAACCCAAGGTCCTGAAAGGATCACTAAAGAAATACCGCATCTAGAAGGCCGTTTACTCCGAAATTTAGACAAAAATGGAATCTCAGACCTATGAATAGGGATATTCTCGAAACTCACAAAGAAAAAAGGAAGTGAGTTAGACAAAAAGAGAAGTAACTTGGACAAAAAAAGAAGTAACTTGGACAAAAAGAAACGAAGTAACTTAGACAAAAAGAAACGAAGTGACTTAGACAAATCTTTTTTATCAATAACCTCAGACCAATCAATCAAATATTTATTAATACATAATTGATCGAACACTGCTTGAAAACTTCCTTTTCTTCACTTCATTCAATAATAGGGACTTCGTCCTCCCTTACCAAACTTGGGGAAGCCATAATAAGCTTGTGTAGGCTTCTTGGAGTCCAATATGACAAGATTGGTGTGTATGACTGAGTATGAGAAAGAGAAATGCATCCCGGATCCTGGTTGCTAAAGTAGAGTAGATGCAAAACAAAAAAAACTCATAGGGACTTCGTCCTCACTTACAAAACTTGTGAAAGCCATAATAAGCTTGTGTAGGGTTCTTGGAGTCCAATATGACAAGACTGGTGTGTATGACTGAGTATAAGAAAGATAAATGCTACCCGGATCCTGGTTGCTAAAGTAGAGTAGATGCAAAACAAAAAAAACTCATAGGGACTTCGTCCTCACTTACAAAACTTGTGAAAGCCATAATAAGCTTGTGTAGGGTTCTTGGAGTCCAATATGACAAGACTGGTGTGTATGACTGAGTATAAGAAAGATAAATGCAACCCGGATCCTGGTTGCTAAAGTAGAGTAGATGCAAAACAAAAAAAACTCATAGGGACTTCGTCCTCACTTACAAAACTTGTGAAAGCCATAATAAGCTTGTGTAGGGTTCTTGGAGTCCAATATGACAAGACTGGTGTGTATGACTGAGTATAAGAAAGATAAATGCAACCCGGATCCTGGTTGCTAAAGTAGAGTAGATGCAAAACAAAAAAAAACTCATAGGGAATTCGTCCACCCTTACAAAACTTGGGGAAGCCATAATATGCTTGTGTAGGCTTCTTGGAGTCCAATATGACAAGATTGGTGATGTGATCATGGAAAGCACAAAGGAATTGGAACTTGATAAAGAGCTTGTAGCCGAGGAAAAGCTTGAAGCAGAGGAGAAGCTTGAACCTGAGGAGCATTTTGAATCAGAGAATGAGCTTTTAGAGGAGAAAGAGTATGGAAAAGATGCTATCTTAACCTCACTGGTTTTGATACATGATCATCAATGGGCATGTGTCTCATTTGTACTCTTTTTCCCTTGTCAAGTTTTGTCCCAATGGGTTTTCTTGACAAGGTTTTTAATGAGGCAAATGATTCACATACAAATCACCCATTTGGTGATCAAAACCATGGCATAACATCTAGAAATTGGCTCAAGGGAATACATATCAAGTCCAGCCTATTTTATGCCTATTATAAGCCCAAGAAGAGCCCAAACCAAGTGGTTTAATTGCTGGTCAAAAAGGATGACGAAAATAGGAGATCAAGAGTCTTTTTGGAGCCAAGAAGAGGAAGAGTTATTTTCAAACTTTCAATCTAGTCTTTATTTCTTTTTCATTTTCGAGACATCCTTGTGAGCATGTTCCAAGGCTTGTTCTCTTCTATATAATCCCTTGTAATCTCTTATGAGAACCTATCTATCTTTTTATTCTCAAACTCTTTTAAGCATAGATCATTGATCCATTTTCGTTTGTCGAATTTTGATCTCTTACGACTTATCAAAAGGCTTTTCGCATCCTTTTGTGGCGTCATTCAATCCATCACCTCGTCTTCGAGTCATGTGTTGTCTCTAATTCGAGAATATCCACTCCAGATCTTCCAAGTGCCGAAATTGGGATTGATCTCTCCCCGGGATCGTATCAAGTGGTATCAGAGCACACTTGGAGGTTGAGTCGTTTCTGTCTGTCATCTTGTTTTAATTTTCATAATTATTTGGCATGTTATAAAATTGCGAAATCAACGGTCACGGATTCGAAAAAGAGTCTAGTATTTTCTAAAATTGTTTCTCGAATTTGTCTGCATGATTTGATAATTTTTAGAGTCCGAAAAAGTCAAACAGTCGTGATTAGGGTTCTAGGAGAATTTGGTGGCATTTGAAGGGTCATTTTGTGTTTGTTGTGTTCAATCCTTTCTATTACCAAAAGAACTTGTTACTGGTGTATTTGTGCTTTGTTTCTCAGGTCGCAATGTCAACTACTAAGGAGAGATCAAGCCACAACCGCAACAAGCGTCTAATTGAAGCCCTTACCACAGAAATGGAGCAAATTTTTGACAGCCACTTAGATTCAATTCGTCAAGGGCTTCACAAGGCACGGAAAAGGAAGAAACAAGAGCTTAATCCCAAGACGCCGGACAACTCATTTAGATCAACATGGAGCAGCCCACAGAAAATCTCTCACACTCCCAAATCCAAATCTGTGTCTCATTCTGATTATAAACCGACCAATGCACTCTTTAAATTTTCAGGAAAAGAAGACTACCTAGAGTGGGAGAAAAACATGGACGAGTGGTTTTCCTACAAAAACTTCTTGAGCGAGATGAGATTCGTTTGTGCACTTAGCCACCTCACGGGAGACGCTTACAAATGGTGGTTGCAAGAAGTTGATGATCGCTTGTATTATAAGGAGCCACCTATCACTTTGTGGAGAGATCTTAAGGAACTTCTAAGGAATAAATATGCTCCGCAAGCATCAAATCGCTCTCGAAAAGTCAGTATCACAGCCCAAGGGTTAGCAGTTCAAGAAAAGGAACAAGTCTTAGTCCTAGATTCGAAGAAAAACCCCATAGCAGAAAAACAGTTCGAGGATGAACTTCTGAACATTCTCAATGCTTACAACAAACCCAAGAAAGCTAAGTCATCACCTCAACCAAAGATGGTCACTGAAGAAGTTGTAGTTCACAAGCAAAGCCTTAATCCATCACTTCAATCAAGCGGTGAACCAAAGCAATGTAAGTCTTCTAATCTTTCAAAGAAAGTCACTTGTTATAAATGTCGTAAGAAAGGGCATTTGGCTGCAACTTGCCATGGAGAACTCGAGCTAACAATCTCTTCATTAGAATCCAAACTGAGCTTATCAAACTCAAGTAGTGAAGTAATTAATCAAGGTTTGGAAAATTCTAGTTCTTGTGTCATGCACTTGTTCTTGTCAAAGGATGTTGATTCAGGTCATAATATGGAGCATGAGAATGACAAAGTTGAAGGAAGCAAAAAAGAGGAGAATCATCATTTGGTGTCAACCACTTCACAAGCTTGTCGAGCTGACTATGTTTCAAATATCACCATCTTCAAAGTTGAAATATTACCAAACATCTTGCATGGTAATCAAGTAAGTATAGCTTGCGAGTTTATTCAGTATTGGAATAATTTCACATTCACTCGTACTTTCAAACCACCTGTTTTGAATGTTGGAATTTCTAGTATAATACACTTGATTTTGTCCTTAAGTGCCAAGGAAGATGCAGGTACCATAGACGTGTGCAATGACATGCCAACAAATTCAGAGCTCATGACGTGTTCTCTAGCCATAAAAGAAAGTGAGGATGTCAACAACACCATCTTGAAAGAGAAAGAACCGCCATATGTATCCCAACCAGTTCTAAACCGAGAGTCACCTAAAGAAGCAACACGTGAATTAGGAGGATTCACTCGAGCTGAAGCCGTTATGGTCCACAATCAATCACCTAGAGCTGAATGCAATATTTTGGTCAAGGAGAAACCACCAGATGCTACACCACCAATTAAAACCCGAGGTAACTATCTAAACTCCCAAAAACGAATGAGAGCTAATTTACTTTCTCTTGGTGAAGGTTGTCCAATTTGGAGGCCAATCAAGAAGACTACTGATCGGGAGATAAGCACTCATCATATGACTCAATCAAGAGATCCTCGTGAAGATTATCAAAATCAACTTCGGCTAAAGCACAAGGAAGAATGCATAGGCAATCAATCAAATTTGTTTGTGAGGGCTAGTAAAGTTAAAAATGCTTTGTTATCAAAACACCAATGTTTATTGCTTAACTGCGAAAAAGCTCTCATTAGCTTGACTAACCCTGCACCGGTGCTGCCGAGTGAGATGATGTCTATTTTGCAGGAATATGAGGACATTTTCTCGGAGGATAAACCTATAGGACTACCACCCATACATGATGCATCTCAAAGCCACGTTTGGAGACCAGGAGATTATCTAGGACGTTCAAGTCATACACCACATGAGATTTTGGTCATTTTACTTCACATGTTTCTCGAAGAGCCTAAAATGGATCTTTCTTCACTTGGTTCATTTCATACTTATCAATGGCGACCAGGAGAGTTTTTAGATACCTTTAGAGAGAATGATTTGGTCAGCAACAATGCCTTGATCCAAGAAGAACCCCCGGATCCCACACCACTTCCATTAATCATGATGATACCAAGTACCGAACACACTGTGAACCTTACTCAGGTAAGTAATGTTTAACTCGATTTGTTTCTCATGTTTCAAGAACTGTTACTATGAGTTTATCATATTTAGGAAACATTGAGAAAGAGTTAGATTTATTTAAAGAATATTTGGAACCAAACTCTTGTCTTAGGATGAAAGTAAAACATGAACATTTCAAGGATAATGCATTGATCAAAGCTGAGCCATGTTTACTTGTTTATAGTGATTCCATGATTGTGATAACGCACTTGCTCTTTGCCAAAGCTGTTGACAATATTGCAGGTATAAAGGAAGAGCCACCAGGCTTAGATGCTCTCTCATTTAATCTCTTTGAGAGGACTGGAATTGGAGTTGTTTTGATGCCAAACATCGTTTATCCATTCAACCGAACAAGAAGAAAAAGCGACAATGCTTATGAACTTAAGCTTCAAGGTAAGTATAATGTGAGTTCCAGTTTCAATGATTCTTACTTGGTTCTTTTCATTGTAGGTGAATTGGATTTGAGGTCAAATCCTTTTCAAGTGGGAGAGGATGATGTGATCATGGAAAGCACAAAGGAATTGGAACTTGATAAAGAGCTTGTAGCCGAGGAAAAGCTTGAAGCAGAGGAGAAGCTTGAACCTGAGGAGCATTTTGAATCAGAGAATGAGCTTTTAGAGGAGAAAGAGTATGGAAAAGATGCTATCTTAACCTCACTGGTTTTGATACATGATCATCAATGGGCATGTGTCTCATTTGTACTCTTTTTCCCTTGTCAAGTTTTGTCCCAATGGGTTTTCTTGACAAGGTTTTTAATGAGGCAAATGATTCACATACAAATCACCCATTTGGTGATCAAAACCATGGCATAACATCTAGAAATTGGCTCAAGGGAATACATATCAAGTCCAGCCTATTTTATGCCTATTATAAGCCCAAGAAGAGCCCAAACCAAGTGGTTTAATTGCTGGTCAAAAAGGATGACGAAAATAGGAGATCAAGAGTCTTTTTGGAGCCAAGAAGAGGAAGAGTTATTTTCAAACTTTCAATCTAGTCTTTATTTCTTTTTCATTTTCGAGACATCCTTGTGAGCATGTTCCAAGGCTTGTTCTCTTCTATATAATCCCTTGTAATCTCTTATGAGAACCTATCTATCTTTTTATTCTCAAACTCTTTTAAGCATAGATCATTGATCCATTTTCGTTTGTCGAATTTTGATCTCTTACGACTTATCAAAAGGCTTTTCGCATCCTTTTGTGGCGTCATTCAATCCATCA